TTACAACGTTTGACCTTCAGTATCTGTCTATAATTATGGGCGTATTTTACATTATTCGGGTTGGAATGTCGGACCTTCAGCTCATGGGGTAGTTCTGTTACGTACCATTTTTAAAAAATCTGTTATCTCCTGTTAATTTTCTGAAAGTTTCTCCAGATTGGTTTGAGGGCCTGTCACGATCTAACTAGCGCCTTTATTGCCATGTGTCCTTGTCTCATCCATATATTTTGTGCCCTTTGCAATGTGTTTTTTTCGTGATTTTGGTTGCACGCTCTGGGAGTTCTCGGTGAAGGTGGTCCCAAACGTTCTGGGCCACCCATGGTAGTCACTTGATTCCTTGCGATTCCTTCCAGACCTTTGCTACTTTGCTCGTATGACATGGCGTTCCATCTTCTTGAAAAAGGTAGACATTCTTGTCAGTCTGATTGGTTTCAAATAGTGGGAGTAGTCCTTTCTCTAATATTTGACAGTATTTTGGCCCATTTAACCGCTCATCAACAAGAATCAGCTCAGATTTCCCTCCAAACCAGACAGCGTCCCACACCATTATTGCAATCCCTCCATGTTTCACGGTCGCCTGCAGACATTCAGTGTTCCAAGTCTCATTCTGATTTCTCCAAACATAAACCAATCTCGAATTCGAATATTGGCAGAATTTCAAAGTCTTTCCTCCCAAATTCTTTCACTCAGTTCATACCCCTGTTGCTCTTAACCTCTGAAATCAAGGGCTTAATTCTTGCAACAATTCTTTGATAGTCTAGCTCTTTCAGAGACGTTCTCACCACATATGGCGTTATATTCATGCTGTTGGCGACATCTTTGACGATGGTTTCTGATGACTTCTCTCTTCAGCGCCATTTTGCTTGCACAGACATGATGCTTGGTCTTCATGAACGTTGTTCCACACGACAATGGCCTTCTTCATTAAATTTCTTGACAAAGCGTTTGCTGATTAATCTAGAAAAACCTAGCAATTTCTTTATTTGACTTGCCACACTGATGCCATCCTATTATTTGCCCTCGTTGAAATTCACCAATTTCCTTACTTTCGCAAACTTTCATTGCAAAATATAAGTCAACTATTATTCATAGATGAGAATAGCTTAATACTAACACGTTATTGACTGAAAAAAAGAATAGACATTATTACACAAGCCAGAATTGCTGTAATCAAGGGTGGCTAAAAACTTATAGCCCACTGTATTGAAAAATCAAGTAATTTTTAAAGAGAATTAAATTTATTTTATTTTGAGGCCTGTTTTATTATTTTATTTGATCTAAAACTTGTTCTATCAGTCTGGAGATCATACAAATCAGCACTCGTAAAGATACCGTAATAATATTCGAATTACTTACATGAATCATTGTCAGTTAAAGACTATAGTTATATGATGGAATCTAAATCAATCATATTCATTGTACTTAATTGCTTAATCGGGAAGGTACTTTCAGGGAAATATGAGATTATTAGAAAATGATGTAATAAATCATAAATCATTTTGTATAATTTTGTGTGCTTTCCTTATTCCTATAGATTCAAATAGCAAAAATAATCACCAAGATTTTTCTCTTTCTTTGTTTTCGTACCGAATTTACATAAACCGAGGCATTTAAGTGTAACTACCAAATGCAGCAAACACTTAATGAAGGTCAGAGACCTTAATGGTCGAAACACTGTAAACAAAAGAAAAAAGAGGAGGTTTGGTTTGGTTTGGTTTGTTTTACGACATATCAGCCTCAATGGGTTATTTATTGCCGAAAAATTTTTTATTGTTGGTAATATATTTTTCATCAAAAATCTATTTATGGGGATATTTTTCCTTGAAGGAATTTATAGCTGGTCATATTTTTTTCAAAGAATGTATAACTGTTTGTATTTCTGTTAATTTTTTTTTTTTTAAGTATTGCTGATAATAATTTTTCCTTCAAAAATTATTGCTAGTAATAATTTTTTTATTGCAAATATTTCTGGTAATAAAACCTATATTTACACAAGTTTGGGTGTTAACTATTTGCCCATAGATGGGACCCTAACAGGTGCTACCACCCCGGGTCAGGGTGGACCTGGGAACACCAGCAATTAAGAGGTGGTTCCACACTTCTCAAAAGCTCCTTATTAGAGGCCTTGCTGTTGGATGTAGTTTATTGTCTTACCCAGGACGCGAATGTAGTTTATCGTCATACCCAGGATGAGAAAAAGAGGAGGATGCTGGTCTGAATAATTAATGGAATGTTGATAATAATTATTCTTAGAATTTCAGACAAAGAATCCGCTTCTCTTCATTTCTAGCTCCACGATTCCTTATAATTTTAAACTTCAGATAAGTGTAAGAAAGCCGAAGATTACACCGTGACTGAAGCAACAAAAATGAAGATACTGCATAATTGATGTTGCTTACAAAACATTCTTAATATTGTCGTAAGTTGTAACACGTGGTTATTATAGACAATTAATTAGCTTGAGTCTGACATAAGTGTAGACCCAAAACTAATATACAATAGCCGTGATCTGTTTGCCTACCTTGTTCAGTACGAGAATCAGAGAGCATAAAAGTGTTAAAGATATAACTGCTGGGTATTATTCATCAGAAGCAGCATGACCCTACGAAGAAACCTCTACCGAATCAAGCCTAAAATAGAGGAGAACATAACAAAGAACACCATCCCTTTTGCTGTTGGGGCAAATGATATAATGGTGAAACCAGCTGCCCAGAAAAGTAATGATGGAGGAAGATCGAAAGCCGTAATTAGGGGAGAGACAATGATATCGGCCATGATGAAAAATATTGAAGAAACGGTTTTCCACATTTTTTCCGGTTCTAGTTTTCCAGGGCATGGAACAATTTTCACTCATCTATTTCGAATACGGCTTTTCAATATCTGTCTATATCTCTTAGATGAGGTATTATGATTACTTGCATTATTTACATTATTCAGACTGTTATCCTAATCTTCATTGCCATATTCACAACGTTTCGGCCGTTGTACACTCCGGCCTTTATGTCTATGTCTCTCTATATCTCTGTCTATATCTCTTAGATGAGGTATTATGATTACTTGCATTATTTACATTATTCGGACTTACCCTCATCTTCATTGTCATATTCACAACGTTTCGGCCGTTGTACGCTCCGGCCTTTATGTCTATGTCTCTCTATATATCTGTCTATATATTTAAGATGAGGTATTATGATTACTTGCATTATTTAAACTATTCGGACTATTATCCTCATCTTCATTGCTATATTCACAACGTTTCGGCCATTGTACGCTCCAGCCTTTATGTCTGTGTCTCTATATATATCTCTGAGATGAAGTATTATAATTAATTGTTTTATTTACATAATTTGGACTGTTATCCTCACCTTCAAGGCCCTATTCACAACATTTCGGGCGCTGTAGGCTCCGGCCTTCGTCAGGTGATTAGATCTCTGGGATGTGGTATTATGAGTACTATTTTTATTATTCAGACTGTTATCCTCATCTTCACTGCCATATTCACAACCTTTCGGCCGTTTCACGCTTCAACCTTCTTCAGGTGTTTGGAATTTCGAACCGAACCTCTTATTTAGTCCACCGGGGTAGATTGTTCTAGGTCCAAGTGCCATGCCTCTCTCCGGATGTCTCAGTTATTTCCCTTTAACTCAACTGTCCAAGTTTTGGTTCACCACTGCTGCTGCTGTGAATAAAGACGTTGGTTACAGTGACTAGACCCAAAGTGTTGTAAGTTCAATACCAGGCCACAGAAGTGGTGAACTAAACTTTGGAGAGCAGAATTAAAGGGAAAAAAATTGAGACATCCGGAAGAGGCATGACACGTGGAACTAGAACATTATACCCTGGTGGACGAAATAAAAGGTTCGGTTCGAAATTCCGATCACCTGAAGAATACCGGAGTGTACAACGGCCGAAACGTTGTGAATATGGCAATGAAAATGAAGATAAAAGTCCGAATAAATAATGTAAGTAACGGACTTTCAAGTCACTAGGTCATCAATATTAGAATAAATGGCGCAGCATATTCTTCAAAATCCATATTTTTCTCGTTTCTCATCTTGTATTAAATCTTTCCCGTTTTGCCTCATGGGCGTAGATAATTACAATTTTTTTAACGTATAGTTCAAGATATCGAGGTCCTAATCGCAGATGAAAGCCATAGTTACGTATATTATTTTTTTAATGGAGGAAGACTATTCCTAGTTAGGCGCAATCTACCTAATTCATATTTGGTCTCATGCCAAATTAAACCAGGTTTAGTAGATATCAATAAACGATTTCTACTCAGCTAATATGTGGCTCCGAAAGTTGCTTAATCCCACTTGCGACAGTTGTTCGATCCCAGTTAAAAACAAGGGTAGCGAATGATGTTCTATTATGTAAATAGTTCCCTATTCCCTAAAAGATTATGTAGTTTTCACAACACCATTTTTCCTATCATTTGACCTCATATCACATTTACCTGAACATAGTCATATAAATTAATTAAGCTGTCATTTTGTCTCTTTTATTTTTATTTTAATCTTCAATTTTACAAATGATATTCATTCTGTTTCAGACTTAATGTTGTTTAAGATCTGACGTCATTCTTCAAACCTAAAATGAAGAAGTTAGATTTATTTGATTCGAAAAATTAATTTGTTTTTCGTGGCGTCCTGAATTAATTTTTGAACATTAGTAAAGATCGCAGATGGATTTTAAGAACAACATGCCGACTCTTGTAGTTACACGAACACCTACGAAGTTGTTAGTAAAGTTAATATTTCACTGCATAAAAATCAGGGTTAAAGTTCAAATTTAAAGGAAACCCAGGGAAAAGAGAGAAGAAATGATTATTTCGTTAATTTAAATGATGCCAAAATCTTCAACTGGGTTTTGATGTTCATCGTTCAAATTTTGCAGCGTATTTAATTGAATTGTTTCTCCATTACGTTTGCATGGTTTTAATTAAATTCTTAATTATTTAAAATGAAATTAAATTACAGGAACGTGCGGAAACGTTTATGATGCCTTTACTAGTTAGCCTAACCCAAAGTCTATCTATCTATCTATCTATCTATCTATCTATCTATCTATCTATCTATCTATCTATCTATGTCAGTATGTTCGTTATCTATCTATCTATCTATCTATCTATCTATCTATCTATCTATCATTATCTCTCTCTCTCTCTCTCTCGCATTCTATTAATATCTATCTATCTATCTATCTATCTATCTATCTATCTATCTATCTATCTATCCCAGTCTGCTCCTTATCTCTCTTTCGCTCTCTCGCAGTCTATTAATATCTATCTATCTATCTATCTATCTATCTATCTATCTATCTATCTATCTATCTCAGTCTATTCATATCAATCTATCTCAGTCTGCTCATTATATCTCTCTTTCTCTCTCTCTCAGTCTATTAATATCTATCTATCTATCTATCTATCTATCTATCTATCTATCTATCTATCTATCTATCTCAGTCTGCTCGTATTCTCTCTCTCTATCTCTCACTCCCAGTCTATTCACATCTATCTATCTATCTATCTATCTATCTATCTATCTATCTATCTATCTATCCAAATACTTCCACACAAATTTCTAAAACGACACAGAATGTATTTGAACTCTGGGTTAATTAAAGGATTAACAAACATGTAGGTCGTATGACGTCAACTGTCCACATCCATCGTTAAGCCATCTTATCTATCATTAACAACAAATCATTAGTCTAATCGATCCTCGCGGGCCTCACCAATAATCATTTTCAGACATTTATTCATAGTGTTGTTGAAATTCAACCCATCACCATTGTTCCGATCATTTTTACCAAATTACGTTATTCCCGTTTTTGCATAACAAAATGAGTGACAAGTTCAGGATATCGCTTCTGGAACCAATTCCTGACTGATTTTTTGAAACGATGTGAATAGACATGGTTGATCGAAGCACAAGTGTGGATCATTGTTTGGATTAAGTCAATCTCAGGAGCGGGTGATACACTGGTTGAGTGAAAGGGTAGATCGTCATTACAGGTAGACAGGCAATTGACAGGTGTCAGTTTTAAAGTTCTTTAGAAGTCAAGGACATTGAATAGGAAAAGAGATATTTTCTGTGCAATATGCGCCATGTTTCTTCAGGACGTTGGCAATCATAGTTTCAATTCTTCTGTCTTTGTGCCAATTTCTTCGATCCATTTGCCCAGGACGCTTTCTCGTTAATTTCTTCTGCTTCTCTTTCTTTCGATCTGCCCTTTGAGTGTCAAAAAAATTCGCAAAGCTTCCCTTCTTCATTATACGTCACAAAATGCTGTCTCTTTCACATACGAGTTTTGAAAAGTCCATTCTGCTTAGACGTGACCATTAAGAAATTATGGAGGCTGTTAATTATGCATGTCATAAATGAAAAACCAAACAAATTAATCGATCCTGACTTGGCATCGCGACTGCAGTCAATTTCTCACCGACGTGACGTGACTTCGTTCTGTATTTTTTACAAATATTTTAATGCGCTGAGTGTTTCACATTCAGGAAACTTTAATCCGGAGTTTATTTAATTTTGCTTATTTACGATATTTTGGATTTATTCATTAATTATTCCCTTAGTATCTGGTGGTTAGATCCAGTGGCAGGACCCAAAGAGTGTTTGTAGAATATTGGTTAGCTTGCCAGTGGTCTGACACACAAGTAGGCTAGTGTAGCCAAAAGCCAACGATATTTAGTCACCCCCCCACGAGGGCATCATGTGGCACAAGGCCGGTTTAACGTGGGATCTCCGAGCCCGTGGGCTCGGCCAAAAATATGCCCATTGAACCCGTATAAAAAAAAGGGTCGGTTTTACCTCCCCGAAAGAGAATCCGCCCTTCGGCGGCCTCCTTCGAGTTCCTCCCGCTCGAAGACAGAGTTCAAATCAGCCAGTCGACTGACTGACCAACTCGTAGCCAAAAGCCAACGATATTTAGTCACCCCCCCGTATCATGTGGCACAAGGCCAGTTTAACGTGGGATTTCGAGGTTGAACCCGTATAAAAAAAAAAGGTTCAGGGTCGGTTTACCTCCCCGAAAGAGAATCCGCCCTTCGGCGTAGCCTCTTTCGGGTTCCTCCCCGCCCGAAGACAGAGAGTTCAACCGATCAGCCAGTCGACTGACTGACCAACTCGTAGCCAAATCCAACTGACTTGAGTCATTTCATGGAGAAATATATGGGTGAATAAAGACCACTCATGCAAATGTATTGGGCAGGTCCATTCTAGCAAAATGGACCAACCTAACTGGTGTGTACCAGGCCACAGAAGTGGTGAACTAAACTTTGGAGAGCAGAATTAAAGGGAAAAAAATTGAGACATCCGGAAGAGGCATGACACGTGGAACTAGAACATTATACCCTGGTGGACGAAATAAAAGGTTCGGTTCGAAATTCCGATCACCTGAAGAATACCGGAGTGTACAACGGCCGAAACGTTGTGAATATGGCAATGAAAATGATGATAACAGCCCGAATAATGTAAATAATGTAAGTAACGGACTTTCAAGTCACTAGGTCATCAATATCACTCTCCTATAAAATGAGGTAAAATCAGCTGGCTTGCTTTACAAGGAAGCACAAGAAGGTAACCATGTTGGCAGGTAAGTCCTTTGACTTCTACAAGTGTGAGTTAAATACTCGGTTAAAGCAGTGGAGAACTTGGAGAGAGGAATTAACAGGGGATAACTGACATCGATTAAACATGGCACGTGGAACTAGAACAGTCTACTCCATTGAGCGAAATAAAGGTTTCAGTTCGACATACCACTTGAAGAAGGCCGGAGCATACAACGGCCGAAACGTTGTGATAAATAAATTCCAGCATTCACATTCATGGCCTTGGTGTTTACATCCAGGATAATTTGCTGATGATCAGAGAATTGTCTCTCGAGGTCGCTGACTACACTTTCACGCGCTTCTGTCTTTCACTACTAAACTCTGTCAGCTCTTTTCCCTTTAACACTTCCCCTCTTCCCAAAACTGCAGTATATTAGATGCAATAACTGACAATATAGAAAAGATAATTTATCTCCATCGATCTGCAAACATCTTTGTCTTCAGTAACTTTTTGTAGTAGTTATTGATATCTTCTTCCAGGCACTCATTAAACAGGAACCGCCTATCCATAAGACCGCTTGCTGACTGGGACTAATTCCAAGATTTTCTTCGTGGCGCCCCCCTTCATCTTCAACCTCCCAATTGAAAATTGCGCCACTGAGGTTTCTTCTTAGACCAAAGCTGGCATGGCGGCATTCATCCTTTCTCGGAAATATCAGGTGAAACCGCAGTCCTCTCCATAGTTCACACCAGCATGCTCGGCCGCTATAGCACACAGGAACCACTATTTCCAGCTATACAAGCATAACATCTCTCGTCATAACAAGTGCTTATTTGCTACTGTTCATAATAAATGTAAGCGTGTTCTCGAAGGAGCTAGGTCTTTGTTTGTCGAGACAATGAGTCACAGCATAGCCTCTAAAAACATTGGCCCACGTGATTACTGACATCTCTGTAATAGGGTACTAAATAAGTGCAAGGTATCCATTTCCCGCTCTCCTATCGATTTGAGGTGTTATCATCCTCTGCTGATAAAACTGAATGCTTTACCCATAAATTCTCTTCAAACTGTTATTGACTCGTCTAGAGTATCCCTGCCTAATTTACCACTTAGAACTGAGACTCTGTTGAGTGATATGTATATAACCCCTTCCATGGTTTCTGCTATCATCTCTAATCTGGATCCCCACAAAGCATGTAGACCTGATGTGATCCCTGTAATAATCAAGTGTGATCCCGAACTGGCTCCTGTCGCTTTTCTCTGGCACTCCTTATTACTGGTTCCAATATTGTATTCATTTCTATGCTTGGTCGGCTCAGGAGATTTTTGTAGCTTAGCATATGTGCTGATTCCTTAATTTTACGAATTATCCAATGATGCTCTTTGCCTATGATCTCTACGTGTAACTAGAACAGTCTACCACAGTGAGCGAAATAAAGGGTTCAGTTCGACATTCCAACCACCTGAAGAAGACCGGAGCGTACAACGGTCGAAACGTTGTGATAAACATGGCGACAAAGATGAGGACAATAGCTCGAATAATATAAATAGTGTACATAATTCCTCATCTCAGAAATATAGACAGATACTGAAGGGCCGACACGTTGTAATAAGTATGGCGACAAAGATAAGGACAATAGGCCGAATAATGTAAATAGAATAATGTAAATAATACCTCATCTCAGAAATATAGACAGATACTGAAGGGCCGAAACGTTGTAATAAATATGGCGACAAAGATGAGGACAATAGTCCGAGTCCGAAATGTAAATAGTATACATAATGAAGGGCCGAAACGTTGTAATAAATATGGCGACAAAGATGAGGACAATTTCATAAATATAAACAGATAGATACAAAGAAATATTTAACAATTTTAAAGATAAATATATTTAAGGCTTTGGGACTTAGCAATCGTAAGGTAAACAGAAACAAAGATGATATGGTTTAACCCAACTTTTAAACGTAAAGTCCAAACTAATCTCGGAAATTTTTTCATAAAATTAATCCATAAGCTTTTTAACCATTCACCAGCATTAAAAAAATAAAAAAAATAATGCTAAAATCAGTTATAGCTGCACTAGTAACATCGAAAGATATATATCATTACTGTTATGGTCCGGTTCCTTGTACCACGGTGATAGTCCAAGGTAGAACCAATAAAGAAGAACTTGAACACGTATATGGAATAACACAGATATATTCCAAACAGGAATATATACAGAGAAGTAGAAAGTGTACGAACAATCAGGTTTAGTAGTACTTGTCTGAACGCGACTCTGTTTCGGACTGCCTCTGACTCAACTGACTGACTCGCTCGCACCGACTGGCTGACAGGCTCCTGACGGACTTCACTCCAGACTTCAGACTGAACAGTATTTAGTCACCCCCGCATGAGGGCATCATGTGGCACAAGGCCGGTTTAACGTGGGATCGCCGGGCCGGGCGTTCGGCCAAAAATATGCCCTTTGAACGCGTATAAACGGGTTCAGGGTCGGTTTACCTCCCCGAAAGAGACTCCGCCCTTCGGCGTAGCCTCGTTCGGGTTCGTCCCCGCCCGAATGCAGACAGTTCAACCGATCATCCGGTCAGCCGGTCGCCCGACTTCAGGCTGAACTCCCTGCTTCCTCTTGAGGCGCAGTATTTATTACGTATAGAATAGTCCATTATGTTATTATGGGTAAGGTCCTATAACAATTACACAACAGCATCATATTAAGTAAACATCATTCCAACAAAGACAAGGTAACATTTTCCCAAAATAAATGCAATTGTCGAAAAAATGCGATTTGTCCATTAAAAGGTCAATATATTACCGATAATATTGTATATCGAGTGTGCATTCGTTCCGGTAACGATGTTAAATTTTATTTTGTTTCTACTGAGAATCCTTGGAAGCTTCGTTCCTACCATCATCGTATGGCTTTGGCTAATATTAAATACAGAAACAGAACTGCTCTCTCTATTATTTCTAGCAATTGAAAGATTCCGGCAAATCCTCTTCAAATAAATCATATATAATAGCAAGGGCGAAACTGTTTAATGGCAAAGGGAATAAATGCAACCTGTGTTTAGTTGAA